TATTCTGGAGACCAATCGAAATTACTTGGACCTAGCGCCTACTAGCGCCCACTAGCGCCTACCTGCGCTTACTCGCGGGCTTCCAGTGCCGGCATAACGCTCCCGGTTGCCGACTGTCATGTGAATCCGCAGAACATAGACTCGTGGGTCTGATTCGCTGATGAATTCGCCGATGAGATTTGCGTGGTTGCCTGGGGATCATGCGCTGTGATACTTTCTTTGCGTTTGTTGGGTGGGGGGTGGGACTTGGCTTGAAGCGTCTGTCGACTAGCACAATCTTAGCACAGCTCTTGCTGTAGCAGAACCAGTGGACTTATTTTGTCAAGCAATGCTGGCAGGAAAGACTGTGGCATGCTCTAGAAGGCAGGAGTGCCTCCAACACCATCTACACACGGCTCAACCTTGCCGTGACGCAGGCGGTCTGGAAATCCTGGCCCCCTTACATCCACTCCATCGAATCCTATGTCGGGGGCGTCCAGGAGGGGGGCGTCCAAGAGGGGAATGCAAATCATGGCCGGCGGCACGTGCGCGGCCTCTCTGCCGCCCCCGGCCTAATGTCTCAGACGACTCCCTCGTCTCGGCGGCGGACAAACCTCCCTTTAGTAAACCTCCCCTTAGTGAAAAGGGCCTAGGACCGAAACCGACGGACCTGGACCCGCAAAAATGACGGCCGCGACGCCCTCTCGCGAAACGAAAACGGCCAGTTCCTTAATCGACGTGTCAGGGTAGGAGGTCTATCAACCTCCGACTGTCTCTGCAAAAACCGGGCAGGATGCGAGCGCCGAGGGCGCGCGAAGGGGGGGGGGACGCGAGGCGGGTGGCCGTCCGAGACGGCAAGGGGCTTCTCAGAAGCCGTGCGGTCTTCTGAAGCGTATCACAATAAAGGGGCCCAGGGACACGCAAATTCGCCGGCCCAACGGGCCAGAGGCGTGCTAAGATCTCTGGTAACTGGTAAACAGTATTTCTAGTTCGCGCGCGCGGGGCGGCCCCTGGGGGTCCCTGGATCAAAAGTACCCCGGGCGGAGCCCGGGCGGAGCCCAGGACACTTCCCCAGATCCTCCAGGATCGCCCCAAGAGGGCCCCAAGAGGCCCCAAACACAATCCAAGAGAGGTCCGAGACGCCCGAAGATCGCTCCACGGCGCCCAAGATGGCCTCCAGACGGCCCAAGACGTCTCCAAGATGACCCAACAAGCCTCCAAGATGCCCCAAGAGACCTCCAGGAGCACTCCCAAGAGGGCCCCAAGAGGCAAAAATCAATGTTTTTTCTTAGGTTTTGGACAGTTTTGGGCGTTTCAACCTTTTCGGTTCCCGACGCCCCTAAACGGCTCAAGAGGCCTCCAAGATCGCCCCAAGAGGCCCTCAAAAGGGCCCCAAGACGGCCCAAGACGGCTCCAAGACGGCCCCAGAGGCATCCAAGACGGTCCAAGAGGGCCCCAAAAACGCCCCCAACACGGTCCAAGAGAGGTCCGAGACACCCGAAGATCGCTCCACGACGCCCAAGATGGCCTCCGGACGGCCCAAGACGTCTCCAAGATGACCCAAGAAGTCTCCAAGATGCTTCAAGAGGCCTCCAAGAGAACTCCCAAGAGGGCCCCAAGAGGCAAAAACCTGTGCTTTTCCTTTGGTGTTGGACAGATTTGGGCGTTTTAACCTTTTCGGTTCCCCGACGCCCCTAAACGGCTCAAGAGGCCTCCAAGATCGCCCCAAGAGGGCCCAAGAGGCCCCCAAGAGGGCCCCAAGACGGCCCAAGACGGCTCCAAGACGGCCCCAGAGGCCTCCAGGACGGCCCAATAGGGCCCCGAGAACGCCCCCAACACTGCACAGCTCCCGACGCCGCAGCTCCACACTGCAAACGACCACTCGGACAGGCGACCACGGTGCGACATTATGGGCCGGCGGAATGAGCGAAGCGATTAAATAAGTACACACAGATCCTAGGATTCCCAATCTTTTTTTTTTATATATATATATATATATTTTGGGGGGATTTTCGTCTTCCCCCCCGCTTCCCATATTTTCGGATATTTTCCTGGCAGTCGACGATTCTTTGTGTCTGTGCGTGTGTTTTTCCCCTCTTGATGCATTGGGGCCCGACCACAAGAAACCGTCCACGAGAAACCCAACCCTGAGATCCCAGGACGTCCACGAGCGCCGCGCTCTCCATCGCAAAGCCATCGAAACCCAAGAAACCCAAGGCGCCCTGGAGGCAAGCAGGGTGTTTCTTGGCATGGGTCCCCACTGCATTGAGAAAAACCCAGCCCGTTATTCGGCGGCGAGCGAGGGGGGGAAATGAAAAGGAGAAGGCCAGCTCAGAAGGCGGCGGGACTTCTCAGAAGCCCTCCCGCCTTCTGAGTTGTTGTTGGGTCTCCGGGGAAGACTTACAGAACTTCTCAGAAGGCCAGGGGACTTCCTAGCCTTCGGAGAGGGCCTTCCCCTTCTCACTTCCCCCCCCTCGCTTGCCGCCGAGTTATGAGAAGCCCCTGTCTTCTCAGAAGCCCCCTCCCCCCTCGCCCCCCCCCCCCCCCCCTTATGGGCGCGCCGACGCTGCAGGCCACGGGCCCGGATGGGGATGCTCGATCTCTGGCCGCGGACCGACGCGACCCTGCCCAGGGAACTACAGCTACAGCGGCGGCACCTGTCCGTATTCGTTACAGCCAAGACGCTGAGATAAAGAACAATTTGGATTCGGAAAGGGCTCGATGTTCCTTACGTCCTTCCGTGGTTGTTCCTCTGGACCTTCTCGTGCACCCAAGGCTTTTTTGAAGCCACAGAGGGGCTCCGTTCATTATTTAGCGTTCCTTATTTCAGCAGCCCGACTGCAGGGAACCGAGCAATGACATAGACATAAAAACTCGGAGGTTCGCGCGAATTTCTCGCATCGGCGCTGGGGCCCTCTGGCGCGCCCCGCGCCCCAAGGAGGGGGTCCGGCGCCGATGCGAGAAATCCGCGCGGACCTCCAAGTTTTTATGTTTATGTCGTCCTTCGTTCCCCGAGTGCCGAGACAAGCGACCCCCTTGACCCCGAAGGATCGGGCCGGGCGACAGGGGGGGATAGCAAAGGGGGGGGGTTGAGCATCAGCTCGCGCAACTGCAGCTGACTTTCCCGGCGCCTCCCGGCGCCGGAGGCGGCCATGCCTCGAGAAAGGGGCCCCTCGACGGGGCCGAAACCGGCTGCATGCAGCAGATTTCGCAGCCCCCCTTTTCCCCCTGACCTTGCAGGAGGGCTAAAAAATAGCACCAGGACGTCGACGTCCTGATTCCTGTCGAGGTTTGAAGCAGTCCAGATAGATCTATAGGTCTGGAGTGCTATTTTTTTAGCACTCTGGAAGGTCAGTTCCCCATCCCCCCCTTCTCGTGCGGCCCGAAATTGGAGGAGCGGAGCCGCGCGGCGATCGCCGCGGCCTACGTCCACGCCCCGCCGCTGGCCGCCGTCGGCGCCTCCTCCGCGGGCTCCTCCGCCCCAGGCCTCGTGGGCCGGCCGGCGCCCGGGGCACCTCCGGCGGGCCGGGCGCGGGCGGCGCGTCCGCGCTGGCCCCGGGCGGCGAACTCCCTGTCGCGCCTCGCCACCTCCTCGAGGGGCGCGCAGGTTGGCGGCGCGCAGAGGGGGGTAAGGGGGAGGGGGGAAGGCTTCTCAGAATCACCCCTGCTTCTTAGAAGGCGCGGGCCTTCTCCAACCTGCCCCCCCCCCCTCCCCCCTCCCCCCTCCCCTGACCACCCTCTGCGCGCCGCCGAACAGAGGCATGCTAAAGACCATATGTAGTTCGGGCCTGTCCCCCTACAGGGGGATGTTTGTGGGAAGAATTTAAAAAGTAGCCCTAAAAATTCAAACATGATCCGAAAAAGCCAAAAAATCGTCACCGGACTAGTTTTTGACTGTTTTTGAATTTCCCTCCTGTAGAGGGATAGGCCCGACTTAATCCTTGGAGGCGCGCGTCCGACCCGAACAGATAGTATACCCATCTTGTGGTGTATCGTTTCCCGAGCGGTGTGGCCAGAAAGCGCCCATCACGACGCATACACTATAAGATTTCTCGGTGCGCGCGTCGCCCCTGTGGGGGGCGACGCACACATAGTAATTATAAGTATGTTGGGGTGACGCCGATCCTCCGCGAAGAACTTCGGGTCGGACAGGTCCAGCTTCTTCCTCGGGGAAACCAAGAGGTACCGATACCGCTATGTGCTCCACGGACCTCTCCTGGGGTGCGCTCTGACCAACATCTCGAAGCGGATCCAGCGGTGGCGGCGAGGGCCTCCCAGGAGGCCCAAGCAGGGCGAGAACTCGTGAAGGGTAACGGTATGGGTATCTTTTCCTTCTCCGATTCCTCGGGCGCACAGCCGACCCAGCCACGCTTCTCACGCGCTCCGACACGTGCTTGGGAATATCGCCAGGCTTGGGTGGGCGTCCTTTGAGCCCTTGCACCGGCCTCTTCCCCTGGTAGCCAGCGGAGGGCGGGTAGGGAGCGATCCGCTGAGGAGGCTCTGGCTTCTCCATCCTAACGTTTTGCTCTGCTTTATCCTCGTCGGAGTCTTCGTCGTCGTCGAATGCACCGTAAATGTCTTCTGCCCAGTCCTGATCACCGAATCCCCTGCCGTTGCCAAAGCCCCTGCCGCTGTTGGCTCCGTCGGAGTTGTCCTGCGAGTCCGAGGGCCAGCCCCCGTCAATGTCTTCTTCCCACTCATCATCACCGAACCCCCTGCCAGTACCAAAATCTCTTCCGCTTTGGACTCCGTCGTTTTTTTCCTGCGGGTTTGAAGGCTGGAAATAGCGGTCCACATCATCGAAAACGGACTCGTCGAAATCATCCAAGGGTTCGGCACGACCTGCGTTGGGATCACCCCTGATCTGCGCAATGCTCTGGTGCTCGTTCGACAGAGGCACCTCGTACGTCTTGAAACCCAGAAAATCTGACCACTCAATCAAACGGCCGGCCAGTTCATCCCGGACTACGGACACGACAATGCCAGCCTTGACATCGTCCTCTTCCAACCCAGGGATCCGCCTACAAGTCCTGCCGGCCACGTGCACATACTCTGTCGGGGTGCCAGGATGCCCGACCAAAATGACGGCATCGATGTCGTCTATGTGGATGCCCCGGATGACCTGAAGAGTAGCGATGATCACCTGTTTTGCAGGCTTCCTGCCCAGTGGGGTGAAGCGTTCGCCCATTCCGCCGTCTGCGAACGCCGCCGCTGCCACCTTGACGGCTGTGGAGGAATCGCTGACCTCGAAACCTCTCTCCTCTAACTCGGAGCGTAAATTCGCCCGGCCAGCAGGCCAGAAGCGTGTAACATCGTACATCCTACAATCGGGTCAAAATCTATAGTGCGATTTGTTTAATTTGACCTCAAAGAAGGGTGGCTCCAACATACACACGTAGGTACATGCATACATACATCTGTATATCTATATATATGTATATGCACATACATGTGTATACCGGCATTTGTGTTTATATGCCTGTATACAAATCGGCATGCAAACACACATGCATATACACATGTACGTATATGTTTATGCATTCATCTAAATGTATATATGCGTACATGTATGTATACATAACTATGTGTATCTATACATATGTATGCGTATTCTATGCACAAGTATGTAGAACAAAGCAGTCTACCATACGCACGGAAAAGGAAGGAGGCCTGAGCATCTGGTCATAAAGCGACACGCCTCAAGGACACGACCATCTGATCACGATCAGCCCAATTGCCAGGGGCACCAATCATATGACAACAAATATAGGGGTCCCGTGGAGGCCCTCATCGAACTGCAACTTCGATGGAACCATAACGGAGGATTGATGACAGAGACGGCAAACCGTAGATGTTCCCAGAACCCCTACCATCGGCCGTTACGTGCAAAAGCAGCGTAGGGGGGCCGCATCCTGGGCCAGCTTTGGACACACAGACCTCCTCCCCCCAACATGTAGTCACTGGGAACGCATTCTTACCTCCGCAGCTTCTTGGGCGCCCGAGTTATCCGGGGTAACTCGGGTCCGGGGTAACTCGGGTTTGAATTCCCGAAAAGGAACCCGAATTAGCCCTGACCCGAGTTACCCCTGATGATGTGGGGCTCTGGACGCCCGAATTATCTGGGGTAACTCGGGTCCGGGGTAAGTCGGGTTCGGATTCCCGAAAAACGAACCCGAGTTAGCCCTGACCCGAGTTACCCCTGATGATTCGGGGCTCTGAGCTTCACCTGGCCATCCGCTCGCTTCTGCCAGCGGAGGCACTCTCGTTTCATTTCCGCCAGATCCGGCTGGCCTTCCGCCCCCTTTTGCCGCCGAAGAAGAGCTGCCTGCCAACCTCTTGGTCCCTCGAAGGTGCGGGGGAACCCTCCCTGAAACGCCTTTGATCATGATGGCGGAGATCCTTGACCAGGGGGCCCCTCCAGTTATTGGTGGTCTCCAAACCAGGTGGTGAGACACCCGGTGGTGACCCCGATTCCCCAAAGAAATAATTCTGGGTCACCACTGGGTTTGGGGACACGCGGTCGCCACGAGGTTTTGCGTTTCCTGGGCCAGCCAGCGCTCAAAAACCATTACCCAAATCGCCCAAAACTCACCACCGGGTGTTCTCACTACCACGTTTGGGGACCACCAAAGTTACCGCAGACAGCGAAATTCTCAAAGACCACTCGCACCGCGCACCGCCTGCAACCAGGCAGCAAGTCCGCTCTGCTGGGCCAATACTTTACAGAGCACCTCCATCAAGCTTCCCTTAACCCCGAACCCACGATAATAAATTACCCCCCTTAAGTAGTTTGAGTTTTTTATCCTCGGCTTCGACGGTTTTCAAATAGAGGCGGAGGGCGCGGAGGCCGAACTTCATTATCACGGGGAAAGTTCGCCATCGAGGTTACTTCCTTCTTATGTTGAGATAACAACATAAGAAGGAAGTTTTGAACTCTCTCTCTCTCTCTCTTAGTTCCTGTTTCTGTTCTCTCTCTCTCTCTCTCTCTCTTTTTTTCTCTCTCTCTCTCTCTCATTTTCTCTCTCTCTCTCTCTCTGTCTCTCTCTCTCTCTCTTTCTCTCTCTCTCTCTTCTCCTCCTCCCCCTGGCGCCCTGAACTTGTTTATCGCTGGGGTTGATTACCCCGGGAAAACTAAGCACATGAGCTCCCCTACACGAGCAGATGAAGATTTTAATTTTCATCAAGCGTTTACACATTAAATCTAACAAGTTTTGAACTTTGGATTTTCGCTTCCTCCTTCTCCTCTCCTCTCTCCTCCGCCTCCTCCTCCTGCTCTTCTTTTCTTTCTCTCTCGATATCTCTTTTTATTTCTCCTTCTTCTCGCCCCCTGGCGCCCTGAACTGAGACAAACCATTGTTGAGGATGTCTCAACCGAGACAAATCATTGTTGAGGATGTATCATACAGGACCAAAGACCAAGGATCCTCAAGATATCTTGGGCTTTTTCCTCTTGATATCTCTTTATGCTGGCTCTGGCGGGCAACTCTTATTATCTCCCCGAAAACCCCGAACTTTATTATCTCTGGGGGTTTATTCTCGTGGGTTCATGGTTATTGGGGGAGAGGAAGCGTGCGGGAAAACTGGCCGTCCCCATCCCCCCTTTTTCCCCTTTCGCCAAAGTCCAAAGCCCCAATTCGCGGGGCGGGGGGGGGCGACGAGCTCGTCATCGCCTGTCCGGGGCCCTCGAGGCTCGAAGCTGGATGGCCCCGGATGGCCGAACAGAAACTTCCGAGACGGCGCAAGATGGCCCCCAACATGCCGAACTGCGGCCCCGAGACGGCTTCCTCTGGTAACTGACATCACCACCCTTGAGGATGCCCCTGGGAAGCCAGAGTCGTCCGAACATCAACTGTTGCTCAATGGCTGCTGCCCTCCCGCCTTCTCGATCTCGATGGGTCTGAACACTACCCCGGTATGGCTGGCCATCGTGGGGGGCGGGCCTGCTTGGCCTTGACCTCGAGTGGAAGCCAGTCCACAAGAAACCTTCCACAAGAAACCCAACCCTGAGACCCCAGGACGTCCACTGATTTTTGGTGTGTGACGGCCACGCTACCCATGGCAGAGCCATCGAAACCCAAGAAACCCAGGGCACCCTGGAGGCAAGCAGGGTGTTTTTGTTGGCACGGGCCCCCCACTGTAGGATCACCGTCCCGAGCTCACTCGCCCGTGGCCCGGCGGAAGGGCGCGGGCCTCTCGGGCGAGCCCCGTGGGCTCTCTTGATGCCTCTCGGGGCCATCTCGGGGCACCGCCGGACCTGCAGCTGGCCCGCGGGGGCGTCAGAGGGCGCCTTCGGGCCCTCTTGGGGTGGTCTCGGAGCCGCTGTGGGGCCCTCGGGCGGGCTCGGGGGCCATCTCGTCTCGTTCTGTGCGCCTCTGGGGCCCTCTTCTTGAGACTCGCAGGGCCCCCGTCGGCATTCTCGGGGGCCCCTGGGGCCTGCCACGGCGCCGCCTTTTGAGCAGAATGTCGCCAGCATGGTTGCCGAAAAGAGCCTGTGCAAGGTTCACCATGCGGGGGCCTTCCGTGCATAAAGGCGTTGCCTCGCGGAGCCGATCTTGGGGCCTCCTTTGGGTGGGCACCTGGGAATCCCGCGTTGACCTTCTGAAGGCGCAGAGCGGGGAAACCAAGCGTTTGAGGGAGGGGTTGACCGAAGGGCCGATCCCCTCCCGAGTATCTGTTGGTAGAGGCGGTAACGATGAGTGAAGGACGATGATGAAGGTTCTGCCCTTCTCCGCTAGTCCATCACTCAGTGTGTGTTTGTGTGGGCCAATACCTGCGAGCCGAACCGGGGCAGCGGTACAATAAAGGGTCGGACATGTATGGGGAATCGTTCACACCAAGGGGGACAGTGGAGGGCTTCACAAGTGAGGGGGCTGTACATGAGCGGTGGGGGGGGGGCTTTGCAAAGGGCTTTCGAAAAGGGAGTCAGGGCGGACGCACGGTTGGCCGCACGGTCGGAACAGCACGTTGCATGATCATGCCAGGAGGTCGACAATCGAACGAGGGTGGCAAGGACGTGGATTAGGAGTTTGGGCCCCTCCCTTCGCCGAGAGGCCAAAGTCCGATGGAGATACCCCGAACGAACAGCATTCCAAGGGGGAGAGCCCAACGGCGAGCAACATAAAGGGCACCCCTCCAGAACTATGGTGGCTCTCAGCCCTCGTGCTGGCTGTACGCAACCGAGACCAACCGTCTGGGGAACCTGGGCGTTTCCGCCTTCGCGGCCGCAGGTGGGACCCGTGGGCCGCAGGACAGCCCAGCGATTTCTCAAGACGGCCTCGTGGGGCCGCAAGATGGGCTCCACAAGTTCAAGAAGGGCCAGCAGAGGTCCCAAGAAGGCTCTGGAAGTCCCACGCGTCTCCCGATGCCGTCCAACAGCGAGTGGGCCCCCCCGAGGGCGCAAGCTGGACGCAAGAGGGCCCCAAAGAGCCCTACTGGGCGCCAGGAGAGGCCTGCGGCCCCCCGCAGGGGAGCCCAGGGACGGCGAGGAGACTCAAGAGAGGTCCCCGATGTGGTCCTAAGAGGGCTCCAGCTCTGCCCCGGGACTGGGCATCGCTCGGACGTCCATTCCCTGTGCTTTTTGCGGTTTCGTGCGTGGCTTTTTCGCCAAATCATCAAGGATGCTCCTCGATGGTCCTCGCCGAAGGAAGCATGCACACGTCGGAGCGATGCCAAGAGGAGGCCCCGGGAGCCCACGGGACGCAGAGGCGGAGGCACGGGGAGGGAGGGCCCAAGAGGCCTCCACGACCAGCGAGACACCCCAAGCGGCCTCTGGGCCGGTGTTGTACCGTGCCCCCCGCCCAGGCCATCAAGAGGGCCAACTTGGCCCTCTCGAGGCTCTCGAGACCACTGCGGAAGTGCTTGTTGTTGTTGAACATTATTAATTCTAAAGAATAATTATTGTTGGGGCCCCTGGTGCACGGCCCCCCTGCGCCGCCTAGGCCGCAGCTACATTTTCATCATTTTCGCGAGGAAGCCTCAGGTAATTCGATGTGATCAAGATCCGGTTGTTTTGTTCCCCCCCGCTTTCCCTTGCAAAAAACACTATAAAATGACATTTCTTGTTCTAATATAATCAAATTTCAAGAATCCCTTGCAAAAAATAAGGTAAAGTGGACATTCGCGCGCGCAAGACGAAATCCTTCCAAAAGCTTAGTGTTCGGAGCGATTTTAACATAAAAACATCAAAAAACCAATGGTTTTTCAACAAAAAAATGTCAAAATCTCATCCCGCGCGCTCTTGCGGATTCGTAGGAAACCCAACACTTT